TTGAAGCTGCAAGGTGGGCAGTATGAGCCATGCTGTGTGCAGCACAACACAGAACTGGCAGTTGCTGGCGCACGTGCAGGTCAACATGGCCATTGCCAGACCCGCCGATTTACTTCTTTTTGTGCTGTTCGAGCTTTGATTCAGCCGGCTGTGTGGTTTGTGCATCACATTGCTGAAGTTTTTCTCGTAGCATATCTCTCATGGGACGATCGCAGTGAAGTGTCTCGTGGCCAGGCTGACACGCCGCTGCTGCTGCGCTGTGTAGCCGAATTTATCGGAGCTTTCCTGCCATTCTTCACAGTTGGTATTCGCCTCGGAGTGAGTTTGGTGTCTCACCGTGATGCGCATGAGTGATATGTTCCACCAAGCGACGACCTAGGCATGGAATCCTTGATCCGTGTTGGTTGTCTTTTGCTGTGTGATGTTGTTTCTGCGGCGTTAATTGCATGTCGTCTTTATTATTTAAACTATCCTTGTTATTTGTCTATGAGTTTGTTGTTTAAAGACTCGACCATTGACCAACTCGCATTGGATTTGCGTAAACGCGTCTCTAGAAATTTGGTTTCTGCTGTGCCTTGTCAGCAAAACGCCCACTTTAGGACACATCCGGCTTACGTCGAGAAGTCCTTGCGCCCGAGAGTGAAAGTCAAAAGCTGCCAACACAACCGGACACATCAAGGATCCTGAGACTTTCGCTGGGGCCGTAGTTCATGCTGGTCTTCCTGAATCAGCCTTTGACAATGCAGTGCATGTTGCATGCGTGACTTATGGCATGTCAGCAAGTCATCGACAATCAAATCAAACACAGGGCTCCAGCACCAAGCGCTGTTAGGTTTCAATGTACTGTCTGGGGCCGCTGTGCTCGGCGGTGTCTCGCTAGCAACGACGTTGTGGCCCCGGCCAAGCTTGATGCAGGGCTCACTTGTTCGTTACAGGATCTTGCCCGAGTCTTGCTAATGAAAAGCTGACTTGAGGGGCTAATTTTGTTACATTGTGAGCACAGTTGTTGGGTTGCGTCTACGAGTTGTACTGATGACATCGCGCACAGAAGGGGTCTGTACATCGCCAGGACTGTGGTGACTTACGCACTGGCTGGAGTTTCTGGTGCGAATTTTTCACCGGCTGTCACTTTAGCGACCTGAACTTAGCATTTGTCCTTGCTTTTGTCGCAGATGCAACTTTTGCAAGACTGAGGCTTTACCTCAGCAAGAGGCTTGGCGGGTCGGGATCTCGGCCTTCGCAGGCTTGCCCGAGGCTTGCCAGGCGACATCCGTCCTTGTCGACCGAGGCCAGGACTTGATGCCTCTGTTGCGGGGATGTATGCCTTGGTTCAGCGCTTGGATCGGCGCAGTTGATGTCTGACTTTGCCAAAGCTACCTGCAGCAGCTGACAAGAGGTCCAGCTGGCGGGCGGGATCTGCTGCGGATTCTGTTTTGCGCTGGCCTCAGCGATAAGAGACCAACAGTCCAGACAACAGATGCGCACGGCACGGATCGATGCTCTGGCAGGTCAACATGTTTGCAGATTCTTTCAGGAGCGCTCAGAAGCGTTGACTTGTCATACGGAAGCTCTCCAGCTGCGCAGGCTCGGTCCTGGAGCAGGATTCAGTGGTCGACTCGGGGCCGGTGAAATGCGTAAAGCGACACTGACAAATCTTGGCTGTACCAGGCTGGGTCGATGCCTGCTTCTGCGAAGCCATGTACTCTTGCCTCTTCTGCTTCGTGGTAGTTGGCCTCAGTGATCAGATTCTGTTTGGGAGTGTAGTAGCCTCCCGCACGCAAAATGAGGTCTTGAACACCACTGCAGCAAGAGCTTACAGCTCGGAAGGGTGCGTGCCCAAGCATTCCTGTGAGTCTGTCTCGGGTTCCGATTGTGCGAGCAGCGGGACCGAGAAACGAGTTCTACGGCATAGCAATCGGAGCAATGGCCCTTGCAGCCTCCTATGCGGCAGGGCCTGTCTCTGGAGGCCTGTTTTCTGGCTGTGGAATGTCAGCAGACGAACAATAAAAACACAGTTGCTCATTGCATCCAGCCAGAAGGATCAGAGACTTTACCGAGCCCGCAACTATTGCGACAGTGTTCCCTTCTCGGTTCATCGGCGTGAGGCCTCCTCAATCCGGCCATCACAGTGGGCCTCGGGCTTACTTGGGCTTGGAAATTGCTGGTGACTGGCGGTGATTGGTGATTGCTCATTTCCTCTTGATGCATGGCATGTTTCAGGCGTCGATTTTGCAGGAGCAGGCAACTTGGAACAAGCAACTAGAACTTTGGGTTGTCGTGTTTGCGTCGTTCACGCATGGTGTGACACATGGCAGGTGCCGGATTTGGAAAGTCGTTGGTGTATGCGATCTTCCAGTTGTCTTTTCCTTAGCATGGACTTGGCGCTGCAGGTGAATTGCATTGCTCGCGCAACAGTGTTTTTGAGATCAAGGCTGGGAGCAGGCATTGCTGCGCTTCTCTTCAAAATGGCGACTTGGATACACCAACAAGCAGCCAGGCCTCGCAGACTTGAGGACATTAGTGTTTCTGGTCAATCTGCAAGTTGTCCCAACTATCTGTGTGCCGAGCAACTATCTGTGTGCCGAGTGGCTGGCCAGAGCAGTCTCGCGTTAAAGTCAGGAAATCCAGAAAACTATTGGGTTGAAAAGGGTACCAGAATGCGACTGGTCCAACAACAATGTCGAAGATGCCTGTGGGCATTTCATGGGCCAGCGTCTAGTTTCGGACTTGAAGACATATCTGGGATCACTTTACTTGAAGTTTCCGAGGTTCGGCCGATGGACTTCGACGAACCGGAGTCACCAAGGACGAGGCCGATCGGTTAACAAGACAGTCACCACACCAAGGGTCGCCCAACGCTTCAGACGTTGGCAGGCTGATCAGCGAGATCATTGGGACGTTTGCTTTGGTACGCCCAGCCCCGAGAACCCTGGAAGGGCAAGCTTGGCATGACGAGGTGGTGACTGTTGGCCTCTCTGCACTGGCGAAGACATCGATGGCCGTTGTCGCCATTGCTGGGCCCGTCCGGCATGTCGGCTTGGGGATCTAAGGGGTAAGGCCATGTGCCGTGTGAGTCTACAAGGAGTCGGCAGTTCGTTCTTTTTGGACTGCTTGGAGGTGCCTCTGCAGTCTGGTCTACGCCCTGGGAGACGTGTGCAGATCCAAGTCGAGCTTGTGAAGAAAGCACTTTGCCTCCTCTGTCTCTTCTTCGCTTTGGCCCGTGCATTTTCTCAGAGAAGGTGTGTTGTTCGTGGGCAGGTCCGGCGCTCACTTCAACCCCGCGGTCACAGTGGCAGTTCTGCTAAGTGGCCACGTGCCCCGGCTGCCCCGGCCGAGCTGAAAGCACCGGTCGTAACTGTAGCGGAGCCAGGATGCAGACATGACCCCCAAGCGTGCCGTCTGTCCGACTTGGTTGAGATGGACGTGTCTCGACAGATTTGTTCTTGCAGCTTCCCCACTCCAGCCAGGTTCATTACATTGGGTCGCAGCTGCTGAGCTGTGTGTTGGCAGGATGGTCCGGCTCCTGTGACAAATGAGTGTTCATGCGTCTTGGGGAAGTCCTTCGAAGTGTGTGCGTGTGTGAGAGACAGAGGTGCTTTTGTCTTCTGTACAATGGGAGCTCCTTCGTGTTGGGCCCTGGCCAAGGCAAGCGAAAAAAGAGCGAAATCAGTGCACTCCTTGCAAGCCCAGAAAAGCCTGGCCTGAAAATTTCATTTCAGGCTTCAGCCTGACCGCAGCTGCAGTTGCTGAAATGCATCCCCCCCAGCGTGCATGGCACCGAATCATACCGTGACTTCGGCAGTCGTCAGGTTCTTCACTGCGCTTCTGGCATTCGTGGTTCTGGGAGTTGCTGTATCGCCGAAAACGAAGAGCTCGCAGCTCTTCGGATTGGCAATAGGCCGGGCTGCGTGAACAGCATTCTTCATGCCGCCTCTGCCGTAGCAAAAATATACCAAGAGTTTTCGTGCCAGGACTTTGCATTGTGGTGGGTGGTTCGTCAGCTGGCAACATCTCGGGAGCCTGTCTAAACCCCGCCGTGTCTGCACGGATCTCAGTGATCATTGGAATGCAGCGATTCGCATGACATGGCCGGTTAACATCTCCAGCTTTGCCAACTTGCTGTCAGATCGGGATTGCAGCCAGCACTGCAGGAGACATAGCATGCAAGAAGGGCATAGCTTCTTTCGCCAGCATCTTGCAGTCGTGCTTTATCAGCGGACGTTGCAATGCAGGATGGGCTGCTACCAAAACAGCTTTGCGGTATTGCTTCTTCCAGCTCCTGGGAGGTTGCAGCGAAATGCAGCCTGTGCAGTGCGTGTGCTACAGGTGCTAGAAGCCACCGTCACGGCTTGTGGCTTGCACAGGAAGCATCGCAGGCGGCGTGGTTCATCTCCTTCACAGTGAAATAATCACCGACACCAGCTCGGCTTGTCTTTCGAGCTTGCAGGATTTGTTTGTGCTTGTCCCATGCTGCAATTTCTGAGGTGAATGGACATGGGGAGACGTCCAAGCTCATCTTCGGGCATGCCTGATGCATGTATCTGTGCCCAGCTGTGAATCGGACAAACACCGTGCACGCGCGCAGACTGTCGCACTGAGGCCCTGCACTGTGCGAAAAAAGTACCATTCCTTTTTGCCGCACCTGGTTCTGGTGTCGCTTGCACGGCGTATGACTTGAGCAGAACCAGTGCTGGGTCTGCATTCTCATACTGCGACAGGGTTGGTCTATCGTCGCAAATCTGAGCTTCGTCTAATTTCATTTCCTGTTTGTCTTCCACATTGAAGAGCTGTTTCGGCTCTTGATTCGTCGCTAAAGCAAATGCATGCACATGTGCAAGTCTTTCGTGTTGCTGGTTCAGGTTGACGTCACAGGCTGTTTCTTGGAGGGATTAAACGAATGTGGTATCCACCATGCCTGGAGCAAATCGCAACGCGTTCTGGGATGAAGCATACATAGATGTGTATGCAGGGTGTTGCTCAACAGAAGGTGACCGTTTGCCATGGATCCTGTCCGCAACCAGCAAAGGTCAGCCGTACAGGACGGTCATCACAGTTTCTTCTCATTGTTTGGACTGCGACTAGGACTGGTGCAACGGGCGTCGCATCTTCCAGCAGAGGCCTTTCTGCGAGACTGTGTGCTCATGTCCAGTGTGTACTTCTGACACAACACAACGTTGCCAGCATATCCGGTTGCTTCGTGGAGTTCTTTTTCGTCCACTGCTTCACCGGTGCCTTATCAGAAGTATATACAATGTGCCGGAGAATGTTTGGGCGAGCTTCTGGAAGCTCATCCGAGGTGGGAAGCTTGTCGCAGACGCCTGTGCAAGTGGAGCACCGGCCAGGAGGCACCAAGGGACGGTAACAAGAAGCGCCTGCAGTTTTTTGACTTGTTTTCGTTGGACTATTTGCCTTTGACAACATGTCTTCGTTTCAGGCTCAGTCGTTGGATGGCCGGCGACTACCCAGGACTGAAGCAGCAGGCTGGGAGAAACTTTCTCGGTGGAGTCTTGCTTTCGCCCCTGAGGCAGCAAGGCTCGCATTCACGCCGCCGCAACCCAGAAGCTTTCCATGGCCTTGCGTGATGTCTCCCGTCGCACTCGCAAATGGAAGGCTCTTGGCAGCGCTGGCGAGTTTGAAATGGCACGTAGCGGTCAAATGCTTTCACGTCTTGTGGCATTGGCTCTCTTGCAAATCCAAGTGCACATGCATCGAAAACTTGTCTCTATGCCTCCCGCATTTCCAACCTGCCCCCAGTTTTGTTTTGCACGCATCATCTCTACCAGCTTGTTGACTGAGCGACGCAACGTTTAGCACCTAGGGGGCGTTCCACGGGACGGCCCCTGTAAGAGGGCGTGCGGGCGTGCACATTTCGCGGGGCTTCGCCGATTTGAGGGCATGGGTCGGTTGGGGAGCAAACCAAACATCAAAAGGCTAGGCCCAGACGTCTCGGCAGTGCGACCTCCATAAAAGAGCCTCGGGCAGTCTTTGAAGAGGAGCGGTTCTTCGGCCCTTTCATGCCCGTGCTGTATGAACGGAAGGCCGGGGCCCCCAAGTCAGAAGAAGCGACCTTTTCACGGCTTCACCTTCACTCAAGCCCTACTTCATGTCTTCGCCGAAAGCTCAAAGCCAGACCCCGAATTTTAGGAATTGGCCCCAAAGTCAAAATAACACGCGCCTCGCCCCAACATCTGCACAGACATGGGAAACTGGCCGGAGATTCGCGATTGATGTCCATGTTGCAAGCTGCGTGGCAACCCTTGACCCATTGCCAACGCATGTCGCAATGCAGGAAAAGTTCAATTCTCGTCAAAATTACACCAGCGGAATTGCTATCCATCCCCTGCTTGTCTTCATGTTTCCTACTCGAAAGTGGCTCCAAACTTCAAAAATTGAAGGCCCTCAGTGTTTCGAACTCGCGAATGAAACTTGCATTCCCTGGGTTTTGCTACATCCGGTGCTTGAATGCACGGCCTTTTACGGCACCGTTGCCGTGGTGGAAACAACCGTCAGCGATCGAGTGCCGCATTCGTCAACCGGCCGGTTGCCGCCTGCGGGAAAGGCGCAGAAGCTCACACCCCTTCGCCGATCCGGGTTTTGGCGGGCGGCATGTCCGACAGGGTGCAGCTTTGTGCTGGGACTAAGCAACGGACACTAGGCTGCAGACGTCGTTAGTGCGGCGCTTGTTTTGCGCCGTCGAGAAGGAACCAGCTGGAATTTTTTGTGCCAGTAAGTAACATCAATCTCCTCAGAGACAGTGCTGTTGGAGTAGCAGGGGCTTTCAGCGATAGACACGAAGACTTTTGTGGCAAGGTTTCTGCCGGCGATTAACTTCTATCGTAGCTGCATACTGTCATGATGTACCAAGCCCAGGCATACTTGAGCTGAGCGACAATTACAGGTGCATACGCCGCCTTCCTCAAGCACTGGTGATGCAGCATGCTCAGAGGGGGTGCACTAAGCAGGTGTTGCAGTCAAACTATGAGCCTTCTGTCTGGAGGCAGACTCTCCGAATCCTGGCTGCTTAACCCCGAGTCGACAGGCATGGGTGTGAGGAAGTTCTTCTGCTGCTTGTGTGCGAGAACATGAAAACAGCAGCGAAGGTGGTCTGCACTGTGGCTCGTCAGACCACCCCTGCACCGCCAAGCACCATGAGTTTCACAGCTGCTCGAGGTCTCATTGCAACGCAGGTCTGGCTGGGATCGAGACAGTCTGCCGTGCACATCAATAAACTTTTCAGCTATGGCAGGCCGTACCTGGCATCACTATGTCGGTCAGCAATCTAAGCAGCCAAGGCACAGGATGGGCCTGGCTTCTTGCTAGTGAGCTGCTGGTGATTGCAAGTGCCAGCCAGTCCATTGATGTTGAAGTTCCAGCTGCTCAGACTCCGTGACCTGGATATCCCAAGATACGAGTCTGCCGAGTCTGCCAGCCAAACACTTATTTTGGGCATCCCGTGGCCGAACGATAGGAGCGACTTGTTGACTAAAGCCGCTCGGCGACATTCACACAGCTCTTCGTCTCTGTTCATATGCGCACATCATGGGGCAGCCGTGCGCTGCTCCACTTCCGGCTGGACCTGCTTTGACCTCAGGCCTTGTTCCATCTTTCGTTGAAGACAGCAGTGTGGTTGTGTTGTGTCGAACTGGTGCGGTTCGTTGCATGCTGAAGGCAGTTCGGCTTGCAGAGGCCGGGTCTGCACACTGGTGAGAGTCTCCAAAGCTTGGCAGTCATGTAGATCTCTACTACAGGGTGCGCGTGTCCACCATGAGCACGTCTCGAAGGGCCCGTTTGGAGCAGTCAGAGTAGACTCTGGGTTTGTCAAGACCCGGGTTGCATCGGTGTCTCATCGTCCCGTTGTTCGGGTGTCCCGAGGTTCCGCCGTGTGTCCTTCGGTCCCGTCGTGTGTCTCGGTATCCTGGTGTCTCTGTGCTGTGGTCCAGGTCAGTGCTTTGGTGTTGGCGTGCCCAGTGTGGCCTCCTCTTATCGGCATGTCGCATTGTTGTTGTCCAGCATTCTACCTTTGAATATCTTGGAACGCAGATGCAGGGCAAGCGAACGGAGAAGTCAATTGATAAAGACGTCGGCAGTTTAAACGACTGTGTTGCTGTTGGGGTCCTGTCTGTGTGGGCCACGCTTATTATTGGTTGGCCACTTGTAGCACTTGCAGGAGAAATGTGTGTCCGGTGCCAAGAGTATGTGCTTGTTCATGCATTGTGGGCACTATGCCATGCATGCGCTGAACTTGAGACATCAGGTTGCTTGCTGCCGGGCGAAGGCCAGCATTTGCTTCTTCGGACAGACTTGCTAAGTTAGCCGTTGCTTCCATCGGAGCAGGCCAGTCTGGTGGGAAGCGATGTCCGGCACCTGCCTCAAAGGCCACCGTTGAGTTTGCGACCGCACAGAGTGTATCTTGTGAGGTTCGCGAAGCTTCATGGGAAAATTTCAGGGACATGCGTCGGAAATCCCGGCAGCATGACTTCTTCGTCGGTTGCGAGGCACATGTTTCAGCGACAGTGCGAACACCGAACACCTCGCTTTAGACATTCTTGGGAGGCGGAGATCCTGCGCGAGTATCATCAATGGCCCGAAGCTTACGAGGCAGCTCCGGCCGAGTGAGCTCTGTCTCTGTCTGAGGCAGCCAAGCAAACTTGCAGCAATTTGCATTGAGCTTTGTCGACTTCGCGCGGAGGGGCATGTGGCCACAGCCAGCCGCTAAGCCTTTTGGGCAGCAGAGTGTGGCGACGGGTGCCTGTGTCACACTTTGAAGTGCCGGAGGAGAGACTCTTGCGGTGCATTTTGTGGAGCCTTGCCCTGAGCGCTTCAGACGACATAAGCACTGAGACGCACAAGCCGGGCCCGTTTCGTTTGAGAGCAGCATGAGTTACCTTGGCGTATCTTGGCGTGTGTTTGGGATAGCTTTGCGTGCCGAGGAGCTGAGCACCTTGTACAACAGCTGAGCGGCCTGGAGCTTTTGAGCCTCATGGAGGCACGGTCAGCGCATGTGCTTGCTGTTCTTGGCCAAAATCCCCTGGCAAGGCCTTTGCTTTACGACAGATTCGGGAGCACGATTCCAGGCATGGTCAGATGATTGCATGATTGAACAGAGTTCGGAACTTTCATAAATGCACGAGTGTCAGGTGTCCGGATTTTTTCGGTGTTGCTTCCGGGCGCCTTCGGGACGAGGCGGTCTGTTTTGTTGATCTGTTGCGATCCGACTCCGCCTTGCAAGTTGTCTGCGTCAGGTGAAGAGCTTGCATTTCAAAGACTTGCGGTGGGGCAGAACGGTAGCTCTCCTCGGCCGCAGTCCTTCTTGCAAATCCCTTCCAGGCGAGCCGCGGCGATGTACAAGCAGCTGAACATCCGAGACGACCGCTTGCTTGGAAAGCGATCTACGCCCTTTGAGTGTTCATCGGCACAGCTGGCAGGAGGACCTCTTTCATGCCTTCGGTAAGAGGCTGGCCGAGCTGCTGGAGGCGATGGGAGAACTGCGAAAGGAGCCAAAGCAAAGAGCGGGCCTTTGTTCCCGAGGCTTCCACTGCACTTTCAGTGCATCTGGGCAGCACGGCACAGCTCAAGACTCGGCCCGTTCAGTTGCAGTCTGAGGCAGCCTGGTCCAAGGCCAAAGAAGGGTCAAAGCCGAGGCGCGGCTTTACATCCACAGTTTGCCATATCAGCATCTGGAGCTTGCAAAGGTGAAGAAGGGGCTGTAATGGCGTTTCTCAATGCCTGCGGCCGACTCAACATACAACCTCCTGAGGCACCAGTCCAAAAGTTCGTGTTTTGCAGGAATCTCAGGGTCGCTACAGTAGCCGTTATCCGTAGCTGGCAGAAGGTTGATGGCTTCTTCAACAGTGTGGGGCCTGCGGCTCGCGCCAGAAAAGATGTTCCGCGCCTGGTGGCGGCCAGACTTGAGTAGTAGGGGCAGTAGCGCGGTGACGTGTGGGCTTAGTGGCGTAGTGAGCTCGTCAACACGCCTTTCATCTTGACATGGCTTGCTCTGTGATCTTTAGCTGGATTTTTGGGTGATCGCATTGTCTTTGTTCGATGAGAGAACCGGCTGAAAACAACAGCTTCATCCAACTGGCTTGATTCGAGGCATTGGCGCAGCTTGCTGCCAAGTTCGGAATTGCAAGCACACGGGAAGTGGCTCAGCCGAACTGTCAGCTTGCTGTTGCGAGGTCATGAAACTTCAAGATTTCAACCCATTTGCAAGAGAAGTCTTTTCTCGGCCATAGTCTCACATTGCCAAGGCCGACCGCATTCTGGCAGTGGTGTGCGCAGCCTTTGAGGGCAACGCTCCAAGCAAAGGCGGCATCAGCATGTCCCCTGTGTTTGCAGAGCAGACGTTTACCCCGCCACAAACCCAGCGGACCTAGCGATGGGCCACAGCACCTGGTTATGTAGCAACCATCCGTGTCCTTCAAGGAGGACTTTAGCAAAAGAGAAATCCAGGTTCGACTTCCGTGAATGAAAGCTCCCGTCGAGGCTATGCTTCCCAAGCCATCACTGGCCAGCTCCTGTTGGCTCTGATATTCGACGAATCCGCGTGCGAGACTCGAGATCGTGCGCTGGTTGCGGCCGTCGGCGCTGTGAACGCTTCCTTCGGCTGCAACCTGAAGTCTTTGGACGAGCAGCTGGCACGCCAGCTGCAGGTCCGGCCTAGCGTTGCTTGCAGTTGCTGGCCTGGCATGTCGCAAATCTCGGCTTGGCCTCTTGAGAGGTCACAGAACTGGCCTGCCGGCTAGAAAGACCTGTCCCGCTGCACATGCTGGAGCGATCTTGCCGACAGCGATGTAAGTAAAGAAGGAGTGATTCTGCTTTGGCAGGAGCTCAAGGGGCTCAGTGGCTTCCTCGAAGGCATGCGCGGCTCTCTGTGCCATTGCATGACCTTGCATGACGACCTGGTTGCTTTCCAGCTGCAACTGATCTGCCTGCCAGGAGTTCGGTGCTTGGAGCAGTCAGTGCTTGGACCACTGCCGAAGTCTTCTTCTCAGCAGCACTTGCAGGTGGGATGTTTGCATGTCACAGCTCTTCATTCTGAACTACTGCTGTGCAGGTTTCTGGGGCCTTGCAAGAGCTTGGTGTCCAACATCGCACGGAGGCCCGGGCAATGGAGACCCATCAAGAACCACGCTGCCTGATGCCGTGAGAATGAGCATGTCTGAGAATGTCTTTTTCCGAGCAGGAGCGGCTGGATCCCTACATTGCCGATGTTCGCTTGACCACGAACCAAAGCCTCATCGAAATCGATGGCATCCTGGCTTTTGTCACTGCAGGGTCGCAACGCCAGTTCGATGCAAGATCTTGATGCGACGGGTAGACTGCATAGTGCGGTTAAGTCGCAGAGCGGAAACGAGCAGATTTTTAGTGTCTGTGATGTCAGTGTCAAACTGCAGGTGCGGATGGTTGACATGAGGTGATGCCACTGCTGACTCGCCTTCCGAGGTCCATTACACTTCGTTGGCAGCACGCAGCGTTATGACATGAAGAGCTCCTTGAAGCATCGCTTGCTGACGAAGCAGGGATGGCAAGTCCACCACATAGCCTGGAATGCCACTTGTCTTTAGCCTATTAGCAGGTATCACTAGTTCTGCCCAATCTGGGGCGGGGGGAAACCCAGACCGAAACAGGATTGGCCGGAGCATCATCACAGCCGCATGAGTTACATTGCTAGGCCCGGCTCTCAGGCGATGTGTTCCCCAACATTCTTGCGCACCAGTGGTCGGCGACATCTGAGGCTCCTTCGCAGACCACCGCCGGGAAAGCATTTGCTGCAGTACACCCCGCTTCAGCCGAGCAACTTGCCCCAAGTCACAGAGAAAATTTACAAAAGAAACATGATTTGTCAAAAAACCGACTGAACGGCAGAGCAGCTGGCAAGCTCGCGAAGCAAAAAGGAATCCCCAGAGTCTAAAGCCAAAAACTTTCACCCAGCAGACCTTAGTTTGTGACAGACTCCAAGTTTAGAGCCAGAGACTCAGAGTAAATTTGAACACAATGCAGCCCTTACTCCCCGTATGACTTGAGTGCAAGTCTATATTTTGGGATACATGGGTGCGATAACTGGGCCCTAAATGCCGGGTGGCATCGGGTGGTCAAACCTCCGAGTACAGACTCATCCGCAGGGTTCGACGAAGAGTGCCTCGAGCCCGGCAAATAAAGTATCAGAGTCACACCTGTCTCTTCCGCTTGCATTCATGTGCGTGCATATCGTTATACATAAATTCATATAAACACGTGTTCATGCAAAGAGAAGCTCGATGCTTACGCATGCATGAACACAGGACGTCTAAATTCATAACAGCATTTTAACATAAGTAGCAACAGTCAACAGTATGCAAGACATCTGAAGACAAGTCCAGCTGAATCGTCGTAAACATAAGGACATAAACACGAATGAGGAAACATTTGTTGGTTGCATATGGATGCGGATGTTTTTCAGGTGTGTTAGTACTTTGGACCGTAGAGATTTCTGTTTAGATAGACATTTCAGGACGCGCAGGTGCATGTAATGCGAGTAAAAATATGCATAAGGACGAGGGAGTGTATAGAACTGCAGCTAAATACCTGGAGTATGTATATGCGGACACGTGCAAACTAAAGTCGACTGCAAGGGGCCCATGCCACCAAATACTTCTCTCATCTTCAATTCAGCTAGTTGAGGCGCACATCTAGTAAGCTGTGCAAACCCCAAGTCGTGTCAACGAAATTGCCGAAACCCCAACCCCTACCCCAACATTCGTCAAGAGAGCTGTTTCGCCCACGCTTTCTGAAAATTCATTCCAGCAAAAAATCCTGGAAACAAGTTGCTGGGACGTTCGCGTCTGTGTGCAACTGGCCTGTGCCTGTACAGGTCTCGTGGCCGAAATTCAAGAAGCTGGAGATGGGCAATCCCAAGCCTGAAATGAATAGCTAAGTTTGCAGAGATAGAGGTACTTAGTCACCATTTTGGCAATCAAAGCGCCTCGAAAAAGTCCAGCAGGACCGGATCCTTTAGCCTACACCCGTGTTTCAGTTCCATGCTGAGCTGGTATCCAATCGACTCTGAAACGAGCTCAATGGACGTACTTTGGAAGATGTCTCGAGGCTGTGAGCCTCTGTAAATCAGGATCCCTCTGTGGGCCGACACAGGCAGCTAAGAGCAAAGATCAAGCTTCCGCGGCTTCCGGAGCCGGTCAAAGTAGTGAACGTATTTTACTTGTGAGTTTGAGGCATGTTCATACCAACAATGGAGGCCCGATCTGCTTGGAATGTGGGTGGACCGAGGTATATGTGAGGAACATGCTGAGCGAGATTTGGTCGAACAGACTTCGTGACTTCCTGGCTTCCTCCCTGAGATGTACATGCTTCTGAGCCGTCATGGAGTCCTTCAGCACGAACGTGCTGTGCAGAGCTATTGAGGGCCCCGGCAAATCCCGCCGTCACGGCTTTCATCAGAGGCTTGGGCGCCATCGAAGCGGTTCCGAGCTGACGTGCAGGATGCAGACTGTCACACCCGACGGTGAGCAAGCCGCGGGGTAGTGAGCTTGAGCGAAGCCGGTGTTCGACTGTTTTCGTCATCCAGAGCTGGGTTGTCCAACAGCGCCAAAAGAACTTCCAGAGTCTGCCCAAGGTGGTTCCGATTTGCGACCGGCCCAAAAGTGCAGCACGCTAGCCACTCGCCCGTTGCGCCTGTGCTGCCAAAATCAGTGCCATCTTTAACCGCGGGTGCATTGCAAGTAGGTTTAGTTTGGTCTGCAAGTTGACTTCACACGTCATGTTTGTGGGCCGGCATCCTGAATCTGAAGGATCCTCGAAGAACAGGATAGACGAGGTGCCCTCGATTATTTGGAAGATTGGTATCATGATTTGGTTCTAGGTTTGCCTATGAGTTGCCCTGACCCGGTCGTGGTCCTGTGCAGACGGACCCCGTGGTGGACGCCCGACTTCTAACCTCCGAGACATGTTTGCGAACAGGATCTTGTTGGGGTCGACACCATTCTTCTGAGCTGGATCAGCCGTGGGGTGAACATGCAGACAAAAGCCACAAGCAGTGAATGTAAGACGTCATGTGACGCGAGCTGAGCACACGTGAAAGAGGGCTCTTTAGGCAGCAGCTTTCTGCTTTGAAAGGGACAGCCGCAAGAGCACGTCGCTCAGACTCCCCAGGGGGGGGGGCACTCGTCGGGACTTCCCCGGCCCGTGTTTGAGAGGCGGGAGCCGGAGACTGGAGACATTTGGAGACGCTCGAAAGAGACTTCTCGCACAGTCCGCAGATTGCAAGCGGACTGCTCCATGCCGGGGTGAACGGTGCCTCTCCTGCTTGGCTTGCCCGGGATTCAGAAGCTCATGAAGCCGCCAAAGTAGACTGTCGCAGATGTGGTGGCGACAGACTGAGCCAAGGCGGCTTACATCATCCAGAACAGCCTGTACAAAGTGCTCGAACCGGACGACGTGCAGCATGTTTTTCCCGAAGACCCACCATAGATGTGGTTTTTGACCCTGGCTGTTGGAGTTCACCCCGGTCCTGACATCCCGTGACTACGAGGCTTTGAATTCATGCTCTCCACTCCAGTGCCCCGTTGCCCCTCCGGTAGATTCGGTTTTGTCGCTGCGAGTGATCTCGTTTTGCCTCGGCGCGGAGACATCTTAATCTTCCCTTTGGCCAGGTCAGAGTCAGACTTGGGAGGCTAAACGTCTTTTTGGTCGGTGGGCCAGTCTAGTGAGTCTAGTGTAGTAAAGAAGTGTACAGTGTGTGATGTTGATTGTGACTGCACTATTCTCACTCTCATTCCCAAGTTCACTGTCACCCTCATTCTCACTCTCGCTCTCACCCTCGCCTTTAGTTTTCGTTCTCACTCTCGTCCTCACTCTCTCACTCTCACTGTCACCCTCGCCTTCAATATCACTCCGCATTCTCGCTCTCTTTCTCATTCTCATTCTCGCTTTACTTTCCTTCTCAGCGTCAGTCTCATGACTCATGACCATTCTCGCGCTCAATCTCCTGCATTCTCACTCTCTCTCTCTCTCTCATTCTCAGCCTCATGCTTACTTCTGGACTTCCTGGATGCATCATTCCGCGTCATGTCATGTACTCAACAAACGGATCGTATCCATGGGTTTCAGTTTTTTGTCGGTTCGACGCTCTGAGATCTGCTTCGACGCGACAACCAGAACTTGAATTTCGATGTCGGCTCGTGACTGGCAACCTCCGGCTACGTGATTCATCTTGAACGATCCTGACTCCTTCCGTTGTTTGTGGCATCGGACAGGTGCCTGCAGTTTCATCAAATTGGCACAGGCCAGCTTCGCCACTTGCACGATCTCGTTCGCATCCCGCCTTGACGGTTTGCGTTGGCGACTGCCGAGCCTGGCAGGTCTCCTGGGAGCCCAGCTACACCTAGCGCGCACAGCCCAGTCGCTCAGGTCCGGCTCAAGTTATGCCAATCGCCAACATTTTGTTGATCCGACTGCCAGGCTGGAATGGCCTCTGAAAGCACAGGCAGTCGCTGTACTCGCATACGGTGTATGCAAGTGTGCAAGTCTGTCGGGCAACGCGGCGTTTCGCGTTTGTGTTCATTGTTTGTCACTGCGGCTGGGATGTGCATGCACGTTTGTGGATGCCCACATTAATGTCATCGGTCCTCCCTTCTTTGAGTCGTTCACCAGCATGCTTAACAAAGCTTTTTGGCAGTTTTCTCACAACAATGCTGTATCCACAAGCACTTCAGCCCTGAGTCTACATCGTTCTGTGTGCCACAAGTGGAGAGAAGGCCACCGATGCATGCATTGGTTCAGGTTGTGGGGCTAGGCAGGATTGTGTCAGACTGTATTTGCATAGAGGCGGCGTTTTTGCAGTCGCTGTCCCATTGAGCTGAGTTTTCCGTCTACGTTGGCGGAAGCTCTTTTGGATTCTCGGAGCTCAGTCCCGAACTGCACCGACATGGCATGGTGCGTGTTTCCGCTGTGTTTCCTGAAAGCTATTATCTTTATCTAAACTCGAATCTTGACCACGTTTGATTTCACGGCACTGCAACTGCTCCCTGGGGCAGAATCACATGACTCGTCATGACCCCATGGGCGAATCTGGATTCTCAGATTGTTATCCACGTTCATGGTTTCTTGCCAGTCTGTGTCTAGATTGTAGATCTGATTCCTTCATTGATGCGGGGGTCGAGCATGAATCGGTACATTCACAGCTAAACGGCAGGAGCAGACGTTATTTTCACCATGAAATGTCTGCACGTGCAAATTAAATTTCCATCTTGCTGCATCTTTCTGTCTGTCTACATCTCTCTCGCTCTCTATGTGTCTTTTATGCCTACATCTCCATGTCTAGCGATCTCTCTGTCTGACCCTCTCTCTCCCTGTAGATGGATGATGTCGGCATGCGTATAGAGCAATGCATTCCGAAGGTGTGGCATGTTAAACATCGGCGTAAGGTTCGATTTGATGCTTTCCCTGAGAATGGTGTAGGGAATTGGAGACACGATGCGAAATCTTGAACTCTGATCCGATCAGATACTTTATCACCCTTTGCGAGCTGCCCCCTCAGTAGGCGTTCGGCAAATTCCGCATGCGCCGTAACGATCAATCAGACGATAATCCGTCTTCCCGAATTGCGACACAAATTTTAGAGAATTATCTGATCAGGCGACAAGACGTTTTCCAGCTATGAGACAAGCTCTGCACTGTCCGAGTCACTATCCCTCGGGAGCTGAGTAAATGCGACTCCCGGCTGCGTCGTTCGGCAGGCAAAGAGAAGGGGTCCTCTTTGATATGTTTACCAAAGCTCCTCGTTCGAAAAAGCGTTGGCTGGCCTTGTTTTTGCATGGATCTCCCTCCGAGCTGTGGAAGGTATGTCGACTTTAGTGCGGCGTTCGAATTAGGGCATCCATGCTGCTCAGGGTATGTCAGGATGCGTGCGGAGGTTTGCGGGTGAGGGTTTGGGGTCTAGGAATGATTCAGGTTACGTTTAGGGCCAGGGTTTCCGGGGCCGGTGCCAAAGGAGGGTTTGTGCCTTTGTGTTTCAGTGGATGGGTTTGGTGTGGGAGGTTCAAGGTTATTCGCACTAGAGAAAGGGTTTCTCATGGTTCCTGCAAGACACGATTTTCCGCTGGATGCGGTTGCAACATGTCCTAGTTGGGGAGCATCGGCCAGGGAATGGTGAATCCGGGTTTGGGGCATAAGGTTTTAGGCTTTAGGACTGGTTCATGTTACGGTTTGGGTTGATGTTTCCAGCGCTTTGGGGGATCCTGTGTGTACAGCTGTTGTCTTTTCGTGGCATGGGGTTGTTCTCGGTTCAGGGTTGCGGTTGTTAACGTCTGTCATAAGTAGTTCTTGTACATGGTTTGGCTTCGTATCGCTTTGGGGGCTATGGGGGTGTGTTGGTTGTGCATCAGTTCTCCGAACCTTCGAAAAGCTTGTCGCGTATTTCATACTTCGAAATGGAAAACACATGTCTGTGAAATTGTGATGTTCATTGTTTGTCAGCACTACGTTAGTGGTTTGCATTCGGGCTGTATCGTCTAGACCTGCAGGAGCATCCGAACCAGAGCAGCTATGCGTGCAAGCTTAGTGGATGGTCCGAATCAGAACATCCATGCTGCCCAGGGTGTGCGGGTGAGGGTTTGGGTTTAGTTACGGTAGGGGTGAGTGTTTCGAGGGGTTTGTGCGGGGGGCTGGGTGTGGGCGGTGCAAGATTCTGCGTGTTCGAGAGGGGTTCCTGTGACACATGGGTTTCTGTTGGCTAAGTAAGGTGGCAAGATGTCCTAGCTTGATTTCGTTTGATTTGGCTTTGGCTTGTTTCATCGCGATTGGTGCGGGTTCTCGGGACTGGGAGCCTGGGCTAGGGCATGGCGCACGTGGAGTTTTTGGCATCAGGTTTTAGGGTTTAGCATTGGTTCAGGTTAAGTTGGGGTTTGTGTTTCCAGCACAGCTGTTGTCTTTTCGTGGCATGGGGTTGTTCTCGGTTCAGGGTTGCGGTTGATGACATCTGTCATAGCTAGTTCTTGCACATGGTTTGGCTTCGTATCGCTTTGGGGGCTATGGGGGTGTGTTGGTTGTGCATCAGTTCTCCGAACCTTCGAAAAGCTTGTCGCGTATTTCATACTTCGAAATGGAAAGCACATGTCTGTGCAGGTGTTCAAAGGGGGTCGCCTGTATGAAATGTGATGTTCATCGTTTGTCAGCACTACGTTAGTGGTTTGCATTCGGGCTGTATCGTCTAGACCTGCCGGAGCATCCGAGCCAGAGAATCTATGCTGGCAAGCTTAGTGCCGTCCGTTTCTGGTGCATGTTGACGAAAGCTGCCAACCCAGGAACGTTGGTTTCGAAGTGCACTTCTATGGCAGCATCCATGCTGCCAGCTGGAGTACTTGTTTCCTGATGACTTAATGCATGTCAACGGGAGCATCCATGAACGTCTGCTAGTAGCAGTGCTGTTTGGTTGTTGGCTCGTCCGAATCAGAACATCGATGCTGCCCAGGGTGTGTGTGCGGAGCTTTGCGGGTGAGGGTTTGGGGTCTAGAATTGGTTGAGGTTACGTTTGGGGTGAGTGTTTCCAAGAGATTGTGCGGGCTTTTGTTCTGCCGTGGATGTTCTTGGTGTGGTTGGTTCAAGATTCTGCGTGTTCGAGATGGGTTCCTTTTTCTGCTGGGAAAATTTGAAAGATGTTTGTGTTTCCACGGGTTTGGGTGGGGTCTTGTGGTCACTGCTGTTGACTTTTCGTGGCGTGGGGTTGTTCTCGGTTCAAGGTTGCGGTTGATAGCATCTGTCATAACTAGTTCTTGCTCATGTTTGTCTTCGTATGGCTGTGGGGGCTGCGGGGGTGTGTTGCTTGTGCATCAGTTCTCCGAACCTTCGAAAAGCTTGTCGCGTATTTCATTCTTCGAAATGGAAAACACATGTCTGTGCAGTTTTTCAAAGGCGGTCGCCTCTATGAAATTGTGATGTTCATTGTTTGTCAGCACTACGTTAGTGGTTTGCATTCGGGCTGTATCGTCTAGACCTGCAAGAGCATCCGAACCAGAGCAGCTATGCTTGCAAACTTGCAAGCTTAGTGCCGTCCAGTTTCTGGTGCATGTTAACGAGAAGCCAACCCAGGAACGTTGGTTTCGGACTGCACTTCTATGGCAGCATCCATGCCGCCAGCTGGAGTATATCTTCCTGATGACCTGATGCATGTCACGTCTGCTAGTCGCGGCTGTTTGGTTGTTGGATTGTCCGAATCAGAACACCCATGCTGCCCAGGGTGTATGCGGAGCTTTGCAGGTGAGGCTTTGGGGTTTAGAATTGGTTGAGGTTACGTTTGGGGTGAGTGTTTCCAGAAGTTTGTGTTGGCTTTTGTTCTTCCGTGGATGGGCTGGCTGTGAGCGGTTCAAGATTCTGCGTGTTTGAGATGGGTTCCTGTGACACATGGTGTTCTGTTGGCTAACTAAGGTTGCAAGATGTCCTAGCTTGAACTGGTTTGATTTGGCTTCGGCTTGACTCATCGCGGTTTGTGCGGAGCATGGCTATAGGTCATGGCGCATGCGGGGTTTGGGGCGCGAAGCTTTAGGGCGTAGCATTTGTTCAGGTTAAGGTAGGGTTGGTGCTTCCAGGGCGTCGCAATTGTTAACGTTGTCAGAACTGGTTATTGCACATGGTTTGGCTTCGTATGGCTGTGGGGACTGTGGGCGGGTTGGGGGTTGCGTCGGGTTGTGCATCAGTTCTCCGAACCTTCGAAAAGCTTGTCGCGTACTTCATATTTCGACATGGAGAGCACGCTCCTTTACAGGTGTTCAAAGGGGGTCGCCTCTATGAAATTGTGATTTTCAGTGTGTTGCTTGTCAGCACATGTTCGTGGTTTGCATTCGGACTGTATCGCCTAGACCTGCACGCAGGAACATTCGTTTCTGAGTGCACCTCTATGGCAGCATCCATGCTGCCAGCTGGAGTGTTTGTCCCCTGATGACCTGATGCATGTAACGTCTGCTAGTCGCCGCTGTTTGGTTGTTGGATTGTCAAAACATCGAGGCTGCTCAGGGCGTGTGCGGAGCTGTGTGGGTGAGGGTTTAGGGTTTAGGATTGGTTGACGTTATGTTCGGGGTGAGTGTTTCCAGAAGTTTGTGTTGGCTTTTGTTCCTCAGTGGATGGGCTTGGTGTGGTTCTGCATGTTCGAGATGGGTTCCTGTGACACACGGCTTTCTGTTGGCTAAGTAAGGTTGCAAGATGTCTTAGCCAGAACTGGTTTGATTTGGCTTTGGCTTGGTTCATTGCGATTTGTGTGGGGTTTCGGCAATAGGAGCATGGATGGGCTGGGGCCATGGCATATGTGGGGTTTGCGGCATGAGGTTTTAGGGTTTAGCAGTGGTGCAGGTTAAGTTAGGGTTGGTTTTTGGCTCTGGGGGCTGTAAGGGTGTGTCGGGCTCTAGATTGCATGCGTTCTCCGACTATTCGAAAAGGCTTGTTGCATGCATTGTTTGCCGGGGTACTTCATATCTCGAAATGGAAAAGCACACC